GATCTTCACCTTGGATAACCTTAGCTGGGCCCATTCAGAATGGATAGAAACTTACCCGTCGCGGCCATTTGCTGGTACCAAGTCCAGGACACTCCCTCTTCATAGCCACCCACTATCAAAATCATAGCTGGTTGTTACTTCCTAAGTCTCAGGGATTAAATGCTGAATCATTCCAGCAAAGCCCTTAGAGCTGCTTGCTGCTACTGCCTCTTCACATACAACTGATGAAGGTGGGGAGTTGGAGGTGCCCCAGTTGTCTCCCTATATCCCAAGAAGGCCCTTGGCCATCATCCTCCTGCCTGCATCACTAAGCTCCCCTCAGTAGCTCTCCACATCTGATCCCTGTCATTGTACCTCTGTGCCCCATTTCCCTGGTTCCTGTGTCTGTTTGGGGTCATGTTACAAATGGGGTGACAGAAGCACTGAGTCCCCAGTGTCAGCTGAGGATACCTTCCTTTGAGCTCTAGCTAAGATTGCCTTGTAGTCCCCAGCCCACATGCAGGGGCATTCCAAATCTACCCTCAAGCTTTCTGCAAGTCCTCAAGGGTCGAAAGAGCTTGGCATCATGTTTGCCTTATGTCATGAAATTCCCCCAAACCCACACACACACAAGGCAGATAGTGTGCATGGTATAATTTCCTGAAGCTGGGAGTGGCAGGCAGCAGAGAAGAGACTGTATCTTTGCCCTGTGAAAGCCTTGGACTGAATACCTGACTCTGTTTTTCTTTTTTTTTTGGTTATTGAAGTATAGTTGATTTACAATGTTGTATCAGTTTCTGGTGTACAGCAAAGTGATTCAGGATATAAACATACACACACACACATATTCTTTTTCAGATTCTTTTTCATTACAGTATATTATAGGACATTGAATATAGTTCCGTGTGCTATACAGTAGGACCTTGTTGTTTATATAGTTCATATATAGTAGTTTATATCTGCTAATTCCAAACTCCTGGTTTATCCCTACCCCTCCTTCCCTTTTGGTAACCATAAAAGTTTGTTTTCTATGTCAGTCTGTTTCTGTTTTGTAAATAAGTCCACTTGTATCATTTTTTTTTAGATTCCACATGTAAGTGATAGCATGGTATTTGTCTTTCTCCGTCTGACTTATTTTACTCAGTATGATCATCTCTAGGTCCAATCATGTTGCTGGGAACAGCATTATTTCACTCCTTTTTTATGGTTTTGACTCCATCCTTCTTAAAAACCATCACAGCAGGACTTTCACCCCCAATGGTGGCCCTACCTCCTCCCTGCATATTCACTCTCACCTTTTTCTCTCCTCACCTGCTCCAGACTGGTCACTTGGCCCCTCGCTAGCTCATACCGTCAGCATCTCACCTTCGCCACCAAAGAGGTCATGAATGTCTTCCCCTAAACATAGCCATTTCTTCCCCAAGAGGACCCCTGGAGCCAGCAGCTGCGGTTCCCATCCGGGCTGCAAGCAGAACCAACAGGCCGCGCTGCGGATCTGTACGGGATGGCTGCTCCCTGTTGACTCGGCTCTGTGTCTTCCCACTTAGATGTTCCGAGCAGGGGCATGCCGTGCTCACAGCTCCTGCAGTTCCTCCAGAAGAACATCATCGTCGCTGCCGTCTCGGTGGTGGGGGTCGCCACGGCCGCGGTGCTGCTGCTCCTGGCGCTGCTCACGTACGTCAGGAGGAGACAGTCGCTGTGAGTGGCTCTTAGCGCCGCCTCCTCCCAGGAGCCCACAGGTGTCTGTACCAGCATCGGCCCAGAGCGTCCTCTGGCCCCGGATCCAGCAGCAGAGCGGGGCCTCCGGGCCTGGCTGTGTGTCAGCATTAGCTGGCACGGTTCCTGGACACCCTGCCTTTGGTTCCGATGCACAGCTGGGTTTGGGGTTTCCTGGTCTGGGCCGTCCTGACCTCTGAAGGCCACCACAGATCAGGCCACACCGCTTCTTACACTGAGGGCCACTGATAGCGGAGATGGGACAGCCTCTGGCAGAAAGGTCAGAAAACAGGACCGTGGGGTAGAAAGGAATGGAAAGGCCCAGCTCCGTGAGTGTGGGGAGGGAGGCTCTGGCGGAGAGGAGAGGAGGGCTGACGTTCAGTTCGCTCACGCTCCTGCAGCAGCGCTGATTGGTAAAATGTTGAAATATGCCTCTACTGTTTGGTAAGCAGCCCCTCCTCCAGGCCTCTGTTCCAGCTGTGGCCATCTTGATGAGTCAGTGTCCTCCTGTACTGGCTCTTAAATACCTCAGTTATCCCCCTGAAGGGAGAGCTCAGGCACAGTGGCTCTGACCAGGAGCAGGCACAACACAGGGTTTACAACATCGTGCCTTTGCAGTAACGGTACCTCGAAATTATGTGCCTCCATCTGCATCCCTTGGGACACACACGGGGAAGAGCAGCTCCCTAGGGCCGCTCAGCTCCTGCCCACCACTGTGTTGGATGCTCAGCCTGTCCACAGGGAAAGGGGCATGGTGTGTGGTGATCCCACCCGCCCCCATCACTGCAGTATTTACATTTCCCTACAGCAGTGGCATGGCTTTCCCTAAAAATGTCCTTTAAAATGCCAAGGCTCCCAGGACCAGTAACCCTTTCAGGCCAACCACCACCACCTCACACCCAGCTTTCTCCTCTGAGGCAGCAGTTGGTCTCTTGAAGTGAAAGAGGAGCCCTGGATATGGCAAATGTTAGAGAGAGAAGATTTAAAGAGCTCCTGGGAATAAACTTGGCCCATTTCATGGTTCTGACGGGGGCCTATCCATCAGAGTCACCATTTCCTTCCTGGGTCTTTCAGAGGTATCAAAAGAAGTAGTGAAGGCTGTGGCTCCATTCCAAAGACAAGAATCAAAGCTGTGAAGAGCCTGGGTTGGTTCTGAGAAAGCTGAGGATGGGGGAGGACATTTCCAGAGGCTCCATAATTCTCAGAGGCAAAATGAATTGTTAAAATGATTAGCAAAATGAATGTTAACAGCATTCACACATGACACATCTTCCTGATGGGTAGTTCTCAGACTCTTCCCCGCTAAGAAATGTCAGCCTCCATTGCCTCCCAAGGAATAGACATTAGGAATTGCTACACATTTAGTTGTGGAGTAAAGCTTCTGTGTCTTTTGTTTTAGACATTCTCCGGCAGACATGACATACAATATTTTTATAATGAATGGCAAGACTTGGTGGCAAAAGTCTCAAGACAAGAAGACCAAAAAACATGCAGGAAAACAGAAACAGCTGGAGTTAAATTCCGGTACCTAAGCCAGGTGGTGAGGCCAGCCAACCAGCACCTAAAGCTGTGATGTGAGGCGATTCTCCACCCAGATGCGTGGAAAGGCGTTTGGATTTCTGACTGTGAGGTGCACCCTAAAAAAGTGTACCTTTTCCTCTCAGTTTTGAATGGACCAGAAAACAGTTTTGGCCACAGATTGCTCATAATGTTAACAGCATTAATGGCTAATACAGGAGGCTTAGCACGTTTCCCCAGAGACTAACCTGACAAAACAATGGATTTATTTATTTATTAAAACATTGATTCATTTTTTTCAGCCATTCATTGAACAGATATGAATCCAACAACTAATATACAGGTGATATTAAAATACATGAGGCAATCAAAGATATTTGAATGAGGCATGGCTGTCACAGGTTTCTGAAGACATGGCAAACAGCTGGCTGAAGCTCTCTGGTAGTCAGTTTATGCCTCTGTGTCTCCATTGCTAAAGGGGCCAAGGGTCTGAGGCTTGGGGTCCAGAGGAGAAAGGAGGGAAAAGGAAACTTATGTTGGTGTTGCAAGAGCAAGAGAGTGGCCATTATAGCTCAGGCAGTTCTCGCCCCTGCGTTGGAAGGCAGGGTCCGGAGAGAAGGATGCTACCTTCCTGTCTCCTGGAAGGGGGTTCCCGAGGCTGGAGGGGGTTGCCCTGCAGCTGCATGTGTGACCACAGGGTCCCTCATGTGCACATGCTCCAGGTGCCATCCATGCCTTCCCATGTCACGTGAAGGGGACACACACCTTCTTATGTCTGGGAATGTGAAAGGGGCGATGGAGGAGCCCAGCCACAAGCACATTCTTGGGGGTGGGTCTTAGTCATTCTGGGAAGGGCAAGGACAGGAGCGAGATCTGAGGTCAGAGGTTCAAGAAAGGACTGTGGCCTAAGCAGAATTCCCAGTAAAGGGATGGGGGGACCTGGCCCAAGACATCTATGAGGAGCATGTTATTTGTAGACATTTTAATGATGGCCATTCTGACTGGTATGAAGTGGTGCCTCGTTATAGTTTTGATTTGCAGTTCTCTAGTGAGCCATGTTGAGCATCTTTTCATGTGCCTGTTGAAAGTGAAAGTGTTAGTCAGTCAGTCACGTCCCACTCTTTTTGACCCCATGGACTACAGCCTGCCAGGCTCCTCTGTCCATGGAATTTTCCAGGCAAGAATACTGGAATGGGTTACCACTGCCTGCTGGCCACATGTATTTCTTTTTTTGCAGAAATGTCTACTTAGATCTTCTGCCCAATTTTCAATTCAGTTGCTTGGTTTTTTGTTGCTGAGTTATATGAGCTGTTTATATGTTTTAGACACTAAGCCTTTATCAGTCACATTGTTTGCAAATATTTTCTCCCATTCTGGAGGTTGTCTTTTCATTTTGTTTATGGTTTCCTTTGCTGTGCAGAAGCTTTTAAGTTTAATTAGGTTCCATTTGTTTATTTTTGTTTTTGTATCTATTGTCTTGGGAGACCTAAGAAAACATCAGTATGATTTATGTCAGAGAATGTTTTGCCTATGATCTCTTCTAGGAGCTTTATGATGTCATATCTTATATTTTGGGATTCCCAGGTGATGTTAGTGGTAAAGAATCCTCCTGCCAATGCAGGAGATGTAAGGGACACAGGTTCAGTCCTTAGTTCAGGAAGATCCCCTGGAGGAGGGCATGGCAACTCACTCCAGTATTCTTACCCGGAGAATCCCATGGCCAGAGGAGCCTGGTGGGTTGCAAAGAGTTGGACACGACTGAAGCGACTTACGCACCTCAGATTTAAGTCTTTAAGCCGTTTTGAGTTTCTTTTTGTGTATGGTGTGTGGGAGTGTTATAACTTCTTTGATTAACAGGTGGCTGTCCACCTTTTCCAACACTACTTGCTGAGAAGACTTTTCCCCCATTGTATATTCTCACCACCTTTTTGAAGATTAACTAACCATAGGTGAGTGGGTTTATTTCTGGGTTCTCTAGACTGTTGCATTGATTCATGTCTGTTGTGCCAATACCATACTGTTTTGATTATTATAACTTTGTAGTGTTTTCTGAAGTCTGAGAGTTATGCCTCCTGCTTTGTTGTTTTTCTTCAGGATTGCTTTGGCAATTCTGGCTCTTTTATGACTCCATATGAATTTTAAGGTAACTTGTTCTAGCTCTCTGAAAAATGTCATGTATAATTTGATAGGTATTGCATTAAATCTGTAGGCTGCTTTGGGTAGTATGACAATTTTAGCTATCATTATTAATTCTTCAAGTCCAAGAGCATGAGATTTCTTTCCCTTTCTCTGTTCAGTTCAGTTCAGTTCAGTCACTCAGTCATATCTGACTGTTTGCAACCCCATGGACTGAAGCATGCCAGGCCTCCCTGTCCACCACCAACTCCCAGAGTTTACTCAAACTCATGTCCATTGAGTTGGTGATGCCATCCAACCATCTCATCCTCTGTCATCCCCTTCTCCTCCTGCCTTCAATCTTTCCCAGCATCAGGGTCTTT